GCAGCAGAAGCAGAAGCAGTAGAAGCAGCAGCAGCAGCATCATCAACAGCATCATCATCCTCATCAGCATCGTCATCATAATCATCATTATCAGCAGCATCATCAGCATCGTCGTATTCATCGTCATCATTATCATCATCACCATCATCATCTTCATCATCACCACCATCATCATCAGCGCCACCATCAGCATCAACAACAGCATCATCAGCAGCATAAGCATCACCATCAGCATCAGCATCATCATCAGCATCATCGTCATCCTCATCATCATCGTCATCAGCAGCAGCAGCACCATCATCATCCCTCTGAGAACCGATCCCCCAGACAGTTCCTGGAACGCGTCTCCACTGTAATTTTGAGGCGGATCCAGCCGCTGCGACCAGGGGCCCTGAGGAGGTCTAGAAAAGCCAAGCCACCATCAAAATCCCTCGCGCGTGGACGAGATAAATTGTATATACACTTCTCGATTTGTGCATGGCATCCTTGCGCAGGGGCCATGATAATCTTCTCTGTATCGTTCCAATGTAACGGATGACCCCCGAAGGGGATCACCACCATCAAAAATCCCTCCCTCCTTCCTGCCCCTCATCTCGGAGGTCGCAGGAGCTCTGTCTCTAGGGCTCTCCGGAGCTCCCTGGAGGCGTTTGGCCGCCCCCGGAGGCGGCCAAGCAGACCCGAAGAAGGCTCCAGACCTCCATCCTCGAGCCTCGACCCTCCTTCCACCCAAGACCCCAGGCGTCGTGCCCGGTTCGGGGGCGGCAAAGGGGGGGGGCGTCAAAGAGGGGGGGGCGCAAATCATGGCCGGCCGCATGTGCGCGGCCCAGGCTGGGTGCCAGGGGCGTATTGAAATAAGAAGAGGCGCCATGAAATCTGGGGAAATATCATGGCCCACGCCATGATATCCACCACCACCCCTAGTCATCACCCCCCTCGTGCGCAGCGTGGGGCCCCAATGTCTGGGCGCTTCCCCCTGGGGACTGGCCTTCCTCCGGGCCACCCGTCGACGGCCCCAGGCCCCCGTAAGGGCCACCCGAGGCCGACGGCGGCCAAAAACCGCCCTCCTCCTCCTCCTCCTCCTCCTCCTCCTCCTTCTCCTCCTCCTCCTCCTCTTCCTCCTCCTCCTCCGACTCCGCCTCCGCCTCCGCCTCCGCCGCCTCCTCCTCCTCCGCCTCCTCCTCCTCCTCCTCCTCCGCCTCCCTCCGCCGCGCGGCCTCCTCCTCCTCCTCCTCTCTCCTCCTCCTCCTCCTCCTCTCCTCTCCTCCTCCTCCTCCGCTCCTCCTCCTCCTCCGCCTCCTCCGCCTCCTCCGCCTCCGCCGCCTCCTCTCCTCCTCCTGCTCCTCCTCCTCCTCACTCCTCCGCCTCCGCCTCCGCCTCCGCCTCCGCCTCCCGCCTCCGCCGCCTCCACTCCTCCGCCCTCCTCCTCCTCTCCGGCCTCCCGCCACCACGCGGCCGACTCCTCCTCCTCCTCCTTCCTCCTCCTCCTCCTCCTCCTCCTCCTCCTTCTCCCACTCCTCCTCCATCCTCCGCCTCCTCCTCTTCCTCCTCCTCCTCCTCGCTCCTCCTCCTCCTCCTCTCCTCCTCCTCCTCCTCCTCTCCTCCTCCTCCTCCTCCTCCTCCGCCTCTCCGTCTGTCTCTCTCTCTCTCTCTCTCTCTTGCTTCCTCTCCTATCTCGGCTGGCCTCCTCCTCCTCCCCTCCTCCTCCGACTTCCCGCTCGCCTCCGCCTCCCGCCACCTTCTCCTTCCTCCTCCTCCTCTTCTCCTCTTCCTCCTCCTCCTCCTCCTCCTCCGCCTCCGCCTCCTCCTCCTCATCCCCTCCGCCTCCTCCTCCTCCTCCTTTGTCTCCTCTCCTCGTTCTCCTCCTCCTCCTCCTCCTCCTCCTCCTCCTCTCCTCCTCCTCCTCCTCCTCCTCCTCCCCCTCCCTCCGTCCTCCTCCTCACTCATCCTCCTCCTCCTCCTCCTCCTCCTCCTCCTCCTCCTCCTCCTCCTCCTCCGCCTCCTTCCTCCTCCTTCCTCCTCCTCCCTCTCTCCGTCCTCCTCCTCCTCCTCCTCCGCCTCCTCCTCCTCTGTCTCTCTCTCTCTCTCTCTCTCGCTCTCCTCTTTGTCTCTCTCTCTCGTCTCTCGTCTCTCTCTCTCTCTCTCTCTATCCTTCTCATCCTCCTCCTCCTCCTCTTCCTCCTCCTCCTCTTCCTCCTTCTCCTCCTTCTCTCCTCCTCCTCCTCCTCCTCCTCCTCCTCCTCCCCCTCCACCTCTCCTTCCGTTCCTGCACGCCGTCCTGAAAAAGTTGGCGGCGCGCACGAGGAGGTAGGGGGGGAGGCTTCAGAAGGAGGAGGCTGCTTCTTGGAAGGGGACGGCCTTACATCTATAGAGAAGGCCCTCGCCTTCTAAGGGGCAGGGGTGCTCCTAAGAAGAAGCCTTCCCCCCTCCCCCTACCCTCCTCTGCGCGTGGCCGACCTGCGCGCCGTCTTGAAAAAGCGCTCCCTCCCCCCCTGGGCGGCTCCTCCGTGCCAGCGCAGCGCGGCGGCAGCTCGGCGCAGTCGAAGCCGAGGGCCACAGAGCTGCCGATCCACCTGCGCCGACTCCATGGGTGGAGGGAGACGGCGGAGGGTTGGGCTGGACGAGAGGGGAAGTATCCACCTACCAGACCACCCCAACCTAGCCCGAAGACCCAAAGTACGGGTTCTGGGGGTACGGGTTCCGCATGTGTCTGTCCAGTATTCCCCGACGCCCTCCCGCTGGGAATGGAGGGCCAAGTGGGCCCTTCGGGTTGGGTTGGGGTGGCGTGGTGGGCGGCGAGGGAGGTGGCAAAGCAGGGGTTGGCGAATCAGCTCACGTACCTGGTTTCTCTGGTGCCTCCCGGCGCTAGAGAGGCCGATGTATCAAGGAAGGCGCCTGGAGGCGAGGCCGAAGCCATCTGCACGCAGCAGATGTCGTGATCCCCCCCCTTTGCCGATCTCCCCCTTCTCGTCCGAGCCGAGAGGGGGAAGAAGGCGCGGTCATCAGGAGCCGCAGCAGGGCAAAAGGAATACTCCGGATTTCACACCAAAGGGGGGTGGTCTGATTGGGGGGGGTTCTGATTTGAGCTGTCGTGGCAGGTTCCAATGGGGTCTGGGCAAAAGGTCGCCCCTTCATGGCTGGTCTGGGGGGGGTCCAAAACTGCTCGTCCGGGAGGGTCGTGGCCCCCTCCCCCTTACGACGAAATTTGGAGCATTCTCTCCGGAAGGTGGGCCAGGAGCGCTGCCAAAGCCAGGCCTTACAGCGGGGGGGCTGGCCCCAGCAACACTGCTGCGGCGGGGCCCAGCACCCTGCCTCCGCCTCTCCCAGGGTGGCGCGCCCTCCACCTCCTCCTCCTCCTCCTCCTCCTCCTCCTCCTCCTCCTCCTCCTCCTCCTCCTCCTCCTCCTCCTCCTCCGCCTCCGCCTCCGCCTCCGCCTCCGCCTCCGCCTCCTCCTCCTCCGCCTCCGCTCCTCCTCCTCCTCCTCCTCCTCCTCCTCCTCCTCCTCCTCCTCCGCCTCCGCCTCCTCCTCCTCTACTCCTCCTCCTCCTCCTCCTCCTCCTCCTCCTCCTCCTCCTCCTCCTCCTCCTCCTCTGGCCCGAATCCCTGGTTTCCCCGGATTCCCTCCTACGTGACAGGGGTGGAGACCTGCTCGGGTGCCCCTGGGCCGACGGCGAGGGGAGGGGTGGGGCTGGCCTGGGACGGCGTGAGCAGGGGTCGCGCCATGTGTGGGCTGTCGTATTGAAATTATCGTCATCATCATCATCATCATCATCATCATCATCATCATCATCATCATCATCATCATCATCATCATCATCATCATCATCATCATCATCATCATCATCATCATCATCATCATCATCATCATCATCATCATCATCATCATCATCATCATCATCATCATCATCATCAGCATCATCATCATCATCATCATCATCATCGTCGTCGTCGTCATCATCATCATCATCATCATCATCAGCAGCAGCATCAGCATCAGCATCAGCAGCAGCATCAGCATCAGCACCATCATCATCATCATCATCATCATCATCATCATCATCAGCATCATCAGCATCATTGTTATCATCATCGCATAATCATCATCAGCAGCAAAATCACCATCATCATCATCGTCGCCATTATCACCATCATCTAAGTCATCATCAACACCAGCATCATCAGCATCATCATCTGCATCACCATCAGTACCATATCATCATCATCATCACCATCATCATCATCATCATAATCATCATCATCATCATCATCATAATCATCATCATCAGCATCATCATCATCATCATCATCAGCATCATCATCATCATCACCATCATCGTCATCATCAGCATCATCGTCTAAGTCATCATCATCCTCAGCATCATCAGCATCATCATCAGCATCATCAGCAACACCATAGACATCATCAGCATCACAATCATAATCATCATCAGCAGCAACATCGTCACCATCATCATCATCATCAGCGGCAGCAAAATCCGCATCATCATCATCATCATGATCAGCGTCATTACCACCATCACCACCACCAAAAGCGCCATCATCATCATCATCATCATCACCGTCAGAATCATCATCATCATCATCATCATCATCATCATCCTCATCATCATCGTCATCGTCACCGTCATCGTCATCATCGCCATCATCAGCATCATCAGCAGCAGCACCAACATCATCAGCAGCATCAGCAGCATCATCATCATCACCAGCATCACCATCATCATCAGCAACATCATCATCAGCATTAGCGACATGGTCACCATCATCACCATCAGCATCATCGTCCTCATCATCATCATCGACAACGTCATCATCATCAGCAACATAACAACCATCAACACCACCACCACCGAAATCGCCATCATCATCATCATCATTTTCATCATCATCATCATCATCATCATCATCAGCATCATCATCACCATCATCACAGTCATCATCATTCTCGGCATCATCATCAGCATCAGCATGATGAGCAGCATCATCATGAACATCAACATCATCATCATCCTCTGCAACATCATCACCATCAACACCACCATCATCACCATCATCAGCAAAATCAGCATCCTCACCACGACCATCATTATCATCATCAGCATCTTCATCCACATCATCATCCTCATCATCACCACCACCATCATCATCATCAACACCACAATCATCATCAGCATCAGCATCACCATCATCAGCAGCACCACCATCATCATCATCCGCATCATCATAAGCAGCAGCAACATCATCATCATCATCATCATCATCATCATCATTATCATCAACATCAACATCAACATCAACACCACCATCAGCAAAAGCATCATCATCATCACCATCACCATCACCAGCAACTTCATCATCACCAGCATCATCATCATCGCCATCATCATCATCATCATCATCATCAGCATCAGCATCACCACCACCATCACCACCACAACAACCGCTATAATCATCATCAGCATCATCATCCTCATTATCAGCATCATCATCATCATCAGCATCACCACCATCATCATCACATCATCATCATCCTCGGCTTGATCAGCATCATTATCACAATCATCATCATCACCAGCATCAGCACCATTAACTTCATCATCATCACCACCACCATCACCATCAACACCATCATCAGCAACACCATCGGCATCAGCATCATCAGTATCATCATCATCACCATCAGCAACTTCATCGGCATCATCATGAGCATCATCATCATCATCATCATCAGCATCATCATCAACACCAACATCATCACCATCGTCATCATCATGAGCAACCTCATTACCAGCATCAGCATCAGCAACATCGTCATCATCACCAGCATCGTCCTCATCCGCATCATCATTAACACCATCACCACCACCATCATCATCACCATGATCATCAGCAGCATCATCATCATCCTCAGCATCATCATCATCATCGAAAGCAGCACCATCATCGTCATTAGCATGAGCATCATCACAATCATCATTATCATCACCATCATCATCAGCAGCAGCATCATCGTTACCATCAACAGCATCATCATCACAACTATCATCATCATCACCAGCAGCAGCATCACCATGATCATCGATTATCACCATCATCACCAGCAACATCATCACCATGATCATCATCAGCATCTTCGCCATCAGCAGCAGCATCATCATCACCATCAGCAGCAGCATCATCATCAGCATGATCATCACCACCATCATCAGCAACGTCATCATTACGAGCATCTTCATCATCATCACCATCAGCATCATCAGCAGCATCATCATCAGCATCATTAGCATAATCATCATCAGCATCATCATCATCATGATCGTCCTCATAGTCATCATCAGCGAAATGAGCATCATCAGCAGCATCATCACAATCTGCATCAGCTTCAGCATTATCAGCAACAGCATCATCAAAATCATGAGAATCGTCATCACCTCATCATCATCATCATCATTATCATTATCATCATCATCATCATCATCAGCATCATCATCATCATCCGCATCACCATCATCATGACCGTCATCACCATCATCATCGTCATGATCATTATCACAACCATCATCACCATCATGATTATGCTGATCAACATCATCATCAACATCATCAGCAGAACATCATCATCAACATCATCATCAGCAGGAAGCATCATCACCATCATCATCAGCATCAGCCTCAGCGACATCATCATCATCATCATCATCATCATCATCATCATCATCGTCATCAGCATCAGCATCATCCTGATCCACCTCATCATCACCATCATCATCATCATCCTCAGCAGCAGCATCATCATCAGCATCATCATCCCCATCATCATCATGATCGTCCTCAACATCACCATGATGATCATCATCAGCGAAATCGTCATCATAATCATCAGCAGCAGCATCATCACCGTCATTATCAGCATCATCAGCAGCATCAGAATCATCATCATCACCCCATCATCATCATCACCTCATCATCAGCATCATCATCGTCATCAACCTCATCATCATCATCATCATCATCATCATCATCATCATCATCATCATCATCCGCATCCGCATCCGCATCCGCATCCGCATCCTTCTCCTCCCTTTCCTCCTCCTCCTCACTCACTCCCTCCTCCTCCTGCTCCTCCTCCTCCTCCTCCTCCTCCTCCTCCTCCTCCTCCTTCTCTTCCTCTGGCCCGAATCCCTGGTTCCCCGGGGCCCCCTCCTACGTGAAAGCGGTGGAGACCCGCTCGGGTGCCCCCGGGCCAGCGGCGAGGGGAGTGCCGGGGCTTGGCCGGGGTGGCGTGCGCAGGGGCGCGGCAGGTGCGGGCTACCGCAAGCCTCCTTCGAAGCCACCGCTCGACCTCGCATTCTCTCGCGCCACCGCACTCGAATATTGTTGGAGGCCTGGAAATGGGCACCAACACAAACACAAGGGTTTGCCTTCACAGGGGGAAGATGATCCTAGATGTTCGGTGTTGGTGGTAATATTTCGGCCACCTTGGAAGCCAGAATATTACCACCATCACCGAGATCGGGATCTTCTTCTTTCGGTGGAGGCAAACCGCCGAAAT